GAAAACAAAATCTGCTGTCAAAGAATTTGTGGTTTTGGCCTCTCTGCAACGCTTCAAAAAACCAAATCATAAGAAATAAACGCAGGCTGCAAAAAAAAATTTTTTTTTTTGAAATCACCAGTAAAAACTCGCTTCTTTACCTTCAGCAACCCATTCGTTGCAATCTTGATAAGAGCTTCAAGGAAGAAAATAAATGTTACTATCGAATCGGCAATAAATAATATATAGTGTAATGGAGGAAAAAAAGAAATTGTATAAGGCGTATGGAAGCATACTGAGATCATCGAAAGCAAGCAGGCGGTCCTTAAGATCCGAGTTACCCAAACATTTTGCAATATCGCTGAAAAATGAAACCGTATAAAAACAATGTTACTGATAAAAAAGCAGTTATTTTTAGGCAATACCTAAACGCGACTAATAAAAAAAATCAGGACAATCTAAATCAGGCACTCTCCAAGCTTTCAACAATCTCAAGTATTTGAAGTTTTCAAAGCCAAAATAGCAATAAACACAAAGTATAAAAGAATAACCCGTGTTAATTGTTGGTAAAATCAAAGTAGATGACTATTACAAAAACATTTTGGAACTAATGTTTCTGTTTTCAAATGTTAACCGAAAAACCAGCTAAAAGAGGCTTTTATTAATGAATAACTTGGACATTTTGTCTCTAAAAACAGCAAACCATCTGTGACAATTCAGAAACCTTACAATACGTATAGAGAAGTAAACAACAATCACTGTGTACAGAGCTGCTTTTAATAGCTTTTATCAATCTAGAAATCTCGTCTTCAGTGCGAAATTTACTGCAGACTGAGCAGTTTGAAACTAATCGAAATTTTTGCGCTTTATATGACTCCATCATAGTTCTTACTGAATTTAAACATTAACTTCTAAGTATTCTTTAAAAGTCAAGCTTGAAAAACAAAAGTGCAACTCCCCTGTTAATCACATTGAACGATAAACATGGTGTTTATAAATGAGTGTTTTTACCTCCATTGCAGTTTATATAACAACTGTGAGAAAGACTGTCAGGATAATAACTATGAGAAAACATAGCTTTTAAACAATTAAAAATTATAATCAACTAACGTACGTGGATTCCGTTGTCGTGCAATCGCTGTATCTAACGATAGCATTTCAGTAATCAAAGCCACAGAACCAGGACTTTTGACCGCTTGAGCTGCCGTCAGTATCTGCGACTGCGACTGCGCCGTGCTTGACGATTTTCGATGCGTCAGCATTGCGCCAGAAAGCGCAGCCGCTTTAGAGGCTTAAAAATTTAATCAAGTTTAAGTTAAATTTGATTCATTTTACAGACCCCTTAATTGAAAAAAATTCTTCAACAGAACAGTATCAGTATTTCAAAGTTCTACTTATTTGTTTCAGTTTGCCAAAATATCTTACTTCTAAATGTTGCTAACACATCAATCCTTATTTTTTTTATTCAGAACGTCATTCCTAGAGAAAAATGTTTATTTGTTCTTGCAAACACGCAAACAAATCTTTCTAATCATTGATAAACCCTCATCTGACCATGAAAAAATTTTGAAACACTTAATACTGTGTCAATTCCACAGGTTACAAAAGAACAAAGAAATCTCACTTCTTTTAGCTTGATCTGCTTGCACCATTTTCTCGATGCTAGTCAATAAAATAAAAAAAAAAGTTTAATTAAACAGATCAAGACAGCAATCAATAGCAGTAGCTGGACGGAAACGGCAGGCAACCAGACCAGACAGTCAAAATTTCAGTCCACGTGAGACATTTTTGATGCTTTTCTTAACGAACACTTAATAAAGGTTAAAATAACAGAAACTTTAATCCAGGAAAACGAACGGCTTTACATTGGTTTCATAAACAGCTGGTCTATCCTCTGGTAAGAAAAACTTTTTTGCATTGCCTTTACCAACTCAATGCCACGACGCTCTGCAAGATCCCCAGTAGTAATTTCAGTCAAAACAGAAAAAATGACGCTTTAAGAACGGTTCAAAAAACTTAAGAATTCACTCTTGTTAACTTCAGCTGTAAATCCGTACGAAGCATTAAAGAAACACTTTTTTGTCAATTAAAATACCAAATAGTATTTAACCACTCAAAAATAATTCCTTTCAACAATTCATATAAACTGTCTCAAAACCCCCTTTATTTTAATAACTTACTGGTCTAATACAGACCAGTTCAGCCATTATCTAGACCCTGCAGCACATCTTCAAATAGTTTCAATGCATCAAAACACACAAATTACCACATCTCCAAGCAGCACTTCTTTTGTCTGATTTTCTTCTAGAAACTAAGTCAAAGACTTAGTAATTACTTTAATTTTGAGAGTTTTTGGATAGACAGCCATAATATCAAAACTGCACGACTTAAGGCCCGAGCTTGTTTAATAAACCCCGCGTTTGAAAGCCAATCGATAAAAGAACTTAGCAAAGCATAACTGTTAGAATGCACGAAGCTTTTCGCAGTTTTATATATCCGGCTCGAAAAAGAACGAAGATCGACAAAAAAGCTTTGTGACTTTTTCGAAACAGCTTAAAATCAAAATCTTTTCTTCCAAATCAAGCACTTCAAAATTCAAAAGCACTCAGTGCATGCAACATTATTTATTTCGCTGTAGCATACCTACTGTCAACCAACAAAAAAAAAATGCATAACAATATACAGAAAAATAGGCAGTAAGTTACTGCGACGTATAAATTTTTATCATTCTTATAAAAGAAGAAAAAAGACAATAAAATAAAATATAAATTTGAAGAAAATCAGCGAAGTTAGAAAACACAAGCGAAACAAATTATTAGAAAAGAGCATTATAATTTTAGCTTCATCTTTATTCTTAAAGCTTCAAAGAATAAAAGAACGAGGTCATCAAAATAAAAGTAGGACAAAACTATGTAGCCATAGAATAAAGCTGCATTTAAAAAGCAGTGTTGCAAAAAAGAAGCGTTTAAAAAGCCTTAATTGATTCTTATTAAAAAATAGAAATTAAAAAACCTCTCGTAAAATAACAATGAATTGACTAGAAAAATATAAACAATGCGCTCTTTGTTGGAGCAAAACAACTTTCTTAAAGAAAAAAATTCTTACTGTGGCGAACGACTGACAACACGAACTTACTTTCACCCCTATCCGCATTTGCTCAAGTAGTTTTCGGCAACTTTAACAAAACCGTTATCATTGTAAAAAAAGAATAATTTAAGGCGAACCAATAGAAGGTGCCTAAAGCAATATAAAAAGCAATAATTAAGAAAAAATTGGCCTGAATAACGTAAGTAACATAGATACCGCAAGCCGAGAGCGATACGTAAAACAGCCCTCCACCTGACTTATAAACTCTAATGATATCGGATGTTAAAAAAAACAAAACGAAATTTGAAATTTGAGACGGGAGGAACAGAATCAGAATTCTTTATGAAACACTAGCATAAGTTCTGCACAACCATAAATGCTTGCGGAAATGTAAACAAACAGACGAATCCAAAAAAAAAAACGGAACTTTGCCTGGTGCGGATTTCTGACTTCTTTACTCTCATCCACCAAACTGCCATTTTCATCAAAGCATAAACAAACAAAAGTTAGAAATCGATGAATAAGACACCTACTAATGACTATTATGAAAAACTGGCTCAAAAATACTAAGTCATATTTTTTTAAGTTGAAGATTACATCTCAACGAACAACAGCAAAAAGACCAATAATACACAACCAAAGCAATCAAAGTTCTAAATGCCTATTTGTGATTGATGTTACTTTATAAAAAGAACATAAAAGCGTTATTCTCCCGATGCCTAACTGATGCAGCAATTTCCTAAAATTTTCGGTACTCTAAATTTCCAAAACTAACATATTTCTCATCGATAAATAAAAAGCAGAGCAGTATTTCTTCAACCTAATTATTCATTCTACTACCCAACTATAATAACCAATCTCGAAAACAATAATATTCTTACTGCTCTAGGGGAACTTTAACTATAAATAAGTTTGTTGAAAATCGGAAACGATTTCAAAAGACTGCTTAGTAATTTCTTATAAAAACGATGAATATTTTCAATCGACAGCAAAAAAGTCAACATTTTTGAAAAAAAACGTAAGAAAACCAAGAGAGACAAACTTGTTTTCAATAAAAATTTGTTAAATATCTCTGAGAGCGAGGGACTAAACGTCAAAACGAGGTCAAGTAAGAAGCAAACGACATAAAGCAAAACATGAATTTAATTATAGTTCTGTTGGATGCTTCCCAAAAACTGACGCTATTTCCAATTACAAATCATGTTGCACCAAAATCACCCTCCATTCTTTCTTTTTTACATTCCTTTAACTTTCAATGCATCAGAAACATTCGTTGGCTCAATGCAGCGTATACCGAAAAAGGCATAGAACTTTGGCAGTTTTAGAAAGGAGACTAAAAAGTTGTTAAGATGCAAAATAAAAACAACATTAAAAAATTAAAGACTACTTTACGATGCAGAACAACCGCCTCTTAAAATTCTATGTCTGTTCAACCCCAAATCATTATTCAAGTTACTGAGAAAAACCTTCTAGGAGGAAAAAGAAATCTAGTAAGAGATAAGACGCAAAACAAAACACTCTCTCTTTTTAATCCTCTCTCCTGCCTCTGTATCTACGGAAGAAAGAAAGCGAATCCAAAACGCCATAAAATTCGCAACTTCAGTCCCCAGCTACAGTGCTCTATTCTTAGGCTTCTCTCCTTACACCGTAATTTGTCAACGTCCAGTCATAATTTCTCCAGTCAAATAAGACAACATATATCAGAAAGGTATATAAATAAAAATAAATGTTGTCAAAAAAGGACAAGAAGAAAAATTAATTCAAGCGTCTTCCTTCTCAAATTACAGATAAAGACAAGGTAACAAATAAAATTCCTTGCGAATTCCCAACGCTACTTCATAAAAACTTGAATTTAGATCTTTTAACGTTCAAGAAATCTCAAAACCAGATTAATATTCCAACAGTGTATCTGATAGATAAAACTACCCGTTTAACTTTTACTGCTTTCCGGTCTCAGAGACTACAGGAAGAACATCAAAATGCCTTTTTATTGAACAATTCTTGCAGATGTGAAATTTTCTATTCGCAACTAAAGCATTTTATTTAGTGAAGAAAAACATACATGTTCAATACTAGATTTTGGTTTCAATGAAATTTCAGTTTCTTGGTCCTTTCAGAACATTTGTGCTTTTGTCTACCAAAGCACTTTTACACATGTGTAAATTTTTAGAAATGCAAATTTGTAATCAGAGCTTCAATAATCAGGTACCTTGCCCAACAAAAATTATTTTAAAAAAAGTCAAATAAATTTTAACTGGAGAAAACCATGTTGAGAAAAAAATATTGGCTAGAATTTCACTCAACGAAAACGATTTTAAAAGAGTGCTAGCAATCATAAATTCATAAAAACTAAAACAAAACAAAACAAAACTTTTTTTGCTCGAGCAACAGAAAAACCACTCCTTGGGCTTTAAAATAATATAAACTAACACTTTGGCGCCTCACAAGAGTAACTGATAGCCCGCTGGGGCGCATTATTGCATCAAATTCGAATTAACTCCTTCATCAATCCAAGCTTCCCAATAATTCAAAAACCAGATGCTTCTATCCTCAAAAACGCTCCTTTTCTATGATCAAAGAAGAAATACTTTCACTTCATTTATATGACTACAAAATACTCCATAAGCACAAAACAATTTTCGGAAACTCCAAACGTCTTAAATGACAACACTAAAAATGGTTAGTATACAGAAGGAAAAACGACTTATACGAGCATAAGCTGCACTTCTAGTGCAGTGAGTAAAAGATTAAGGTAAGAAAAACTTCAAAAGAGTTTACTAAAAAAATTAAAGCAACAGGAAGACAAAAATATCTTCAAAAGGTTTGCATTTATTAAGGCTACTTCTTCTTTCCGCTATTGGCAATTCTCCTTCCGCTATTTTATTTAATTTTCCTTCTTTTACTTTATTTATTTTTATTCCTAAGCTATCTTTCTTTTCATTGACGTCACTTACGTACATTGAAGCTTCTGCTTTCTCGTCCTATTCTTTAACTTAATCACAAAGCTGGTGATACTGCTGAATTCAATATCAATAACTGTCTGACTAAATAACATCAAACTTGGTAAACCAACCAAACTCCTTTTCATAATGTAAATTTAGAATAATCCTTTAGAAAAAAGGAGAGTAGTAATGACAATAGAACCAAGTAATCAATGAAAAAATTTCTTGGAACAAACTGGAATTCTTTAAGCCTATTTCATCGAATTAAAGATTACGTTTAAAGGGAACAACAAAAACAAAGGAAAAGGAATCTTGAAAAATTTCAGGAAAGATGTAACCGCAGAATGCTACGGAAATCAAATAACAATGCAACTGAACTAACCAGCACTTTGAAATCCCAAGTGCTTTTGAAATAGCTTTAAAAAAAAGTCCTCTTCCATCACCACCCCAACTCCCTGCCCTCCCACCAACGCTTCCAATCAACCAACCAAAACCTAACAATAATTTTAGGTCATTAAAATTAAATTTTTTGAAACCATTCGCACTTCCACGTCAAATAAACCAAAATAAAAAGAAAGATGAGCAATAAAGCGCCTACAGCATATTAGACATTGATATTAAAA